CAAATTTCATTTAGGATGTTTTTGTTCTATATAGACCCTCATGTACTGAATATATTTCTGTGCCAGTATCTAAGCCGCAGTTAAAAGCCTGACAAAAAACCCATTCCTGTTTGGATTATTGGATTCAGATTATTTCATGAATTAATGCAATGAACTCTTAAAGTAGAATGCTTTTCTGGTGCAACAGCCCTACATGCACTCTCATCAAAGAAGTAAAAATAATTAAGCTAATTCAACATATCTTCACTTGGGTGTGACTTTTTTCTTTTAATTCAAGCAACAGAAACAAGCGCAAAGTTACAAACCTTGACCTTACAAGTCTCACAAGCTCACATTCATCTGGCCCCATATGAGCCAGAGTAGCATGTAACACAGCTTCTATTCTTCCTTCTTCTGTTTAAAATTGTAAAAAAAAAAGAAAAAGAAAAAAGAAAGAAAGCCAACTCTTTTTTTAAACACGAGTGTTAACGTGTCTGGATAACACCTGGAAGCCTTGTGAAAAGCGCTGACAGATTTCATACTTTTACATTCACGGCAACTTCGACACCAGGGATTTGCTCTTAAAACGGAGCACAGCAAGGATGAAGGGTGGTATAAAAATCAATGAGGCCTTTCAAAGGCAACATGAAAAACCAGCGCCTTAGCCTGCAATTAAACAAGAGCGCTCCTGGCACTGAGGGATGACAGAGTATGTACAGGTGCCCTCGACTTCACAGGATCAATTACAGGATCAATACTACAACATGATACAATTCCATGATGGAAACTGAGACGTGGACTGGAGCTGCTTTGCGTCATGTGCTTCAGATGTTCACAGTAAAACAGCTCAAGCTGGTCTGTAGCTGTGGAGCCATTTCATAGGCATGAAAGAAGCCTCGTTCTAGACCAAACAGATCCTCCAGGTGGAAACCTCTTTTGAAATATTACTGTCTGTGTTAAGGCCAGTTTAAAAGGGGATTACAAGTCTGGAGGTTGGGGAATATATGTGTGTCTGTGTGTGTATACACATGATATATACATATATTATATCACCATGTTTTTTAAAAATAGTATTTTGTAACTATGGATTCCAAATGCCCAAAAATGAAATCTGTGGATGAAAACACTGCTATTTGTTTTATTATAAAAACTGTTTTAATGTGATTCATTTGCACAAACACATGTAGGATTTACAGTGACATGCATAGCTTTAGCTTTATATTGACTCTGTTTCAAAACAGGCCTATATGCTAACTTAGTGTTCCTCCTCTCTACAGTTCTTCCATTACAGGCTAAAATCTCAACATAATGCAATATTTACTCCTCAGACGGCCGATTAGTTACACCTTAATAACACCAGGTTGGACCCCCTGTTGCTTTCAGAACTGATAATTAGGCATGAAAGCATCACAGAGTTGCTGCAAATTTAGTGGTTGCCACATCCACCACATCCCAAAGGTGCACTATTGGATTGAGATCTGGTGACTGTAGAGGTCATTTGAGCACAGTGAACTCACTGTCATGTTAAAAAAAAAAGTTTGAGATGATCTGAGCTTTGCGTCATAGTGAGTTATCCTGGTGGAAGCAGTCATCAGAAGATGGGTACACTGTGGTCATTAAGAGAGCAACAACATGCAGGTAGTTTGTGATGTTTAAATGATGCACTACTGATAATAAGGGGACACGGTGTGCCAAGACAACATCCCATGAAATCATGGACACATGCTTTCATGTTGTTTACCCCAAATTCTGACGCTACCATCCAAATGTTGCAGCAAAATTAAGGCTTCCAGACTGTAGTATAATTTAACTTCCTAAGACCCAAACTTTTTCATGCATTTTTAAATTTCTCTTTGCCATTTGGGCTGGATGAATGTAAAAACAAAGAATTACCAGTTTTGTTTCATTTTGTTTTTTTACCTGATTTTTATTTCTGAGAAAAATAAGATCCACATATGAGGACATTCGTTTTAAATTTTGATAGAACAGTGGCAATATAATGTCCTTGTAAGTGGATATCAAGCTCTTGTAGAGCAAAATTTTGTATTTTTGTCTAGACAACCCAAAATGTGATATCCACATATGTGGACACCAGGTCCAGGAGGTTAAAACTATAAATAATTTACATTTTTAACAGATATTAAAGGTTTCCAGAGTTTTAGTGTCAGTTAAAAATATTGAATTTCAATACCTTAGAGCAGATACTTACTTTAACTTTCCATTCAGTGAAATTTTAGCTGCGATTAACACTGACTACCATTTTTTAGCATGCTAAACTATGATGGTGAATATTGTAAACATTAGAATTAGCATGACCGTGTTAGCATGCTAACATAAAGCACTGGTCTGCAGATGGGGTGTGATTAAAAAGTTTTAGCTGTAGCACCAAAATAAAAACAAAAAACACAAAAAAATACCTACCTGATATAAAAATGCATAACATTTTTATAAAATGTTGCACTGCTCCTTCTCCATTTGCGCTGCTTCTTGACCACTTGTGTGTCCAATTTTATTTTGTGATGGAGGACAAATCTGGCGAGTAAGCAAGGTGGTTTGGCCATAAATGCCTGACTGGCACATGATGGCATACAACACAGTTTAGGTCTTTTGTGCTCAATGTTCTCCCTCAGAAGCCTCGGGACATTACAGTAGGACTCAGTGATGACTGTATGGCCCTGGGTGATGAATTCAAGGTGCACAACCCTGTTAAGGTTGAAGAAAATTACAAGCATGCTCCTGACCCGATATACCACCTTCAGGCTAGCAAACTGGACAGTTCCTCTGAAAACCGCTATTTGGTCTCTGGGTCATAGCTGAGAGCCACAAGCTCTCGTCACCACTGATTATCCTTGTCATGAAGCTTGGGTATGAGAAGGATGTTTGCTCTTTGCACAAGTTTGAAGCCCATGATGAAGTCAAAAAGGCACAATGGGATTTCCAGGGAGTGCTCTAAACATAAGAAAGCTAGCAGTGTTACACAAGGAGATAACCTTGAAGGAGAAGGCAACCAAACTACACTTAAATCATGTATGGATTAAAAAAAAAATTTTTAGCCTCACATTTATTTGTTTTTTGTTTGGTTGAGTAGAATAATTTCCATCCTTCAGACCCCTGAAGATAATTTTAATAAACAAACCAAAACTTCCTCCACCACCGAGCGTTCACAGGACAGAAGTATTTGCAAATCCTAAAAAAAATGAGTAACTCTGGTTTGTCTACTCAAGTCACAACCACTGGATGATGATTAAATGCTAAAACTGTCACAAAGCACAAGCAGACCAGACTCAAAGTGAGCACACTCACACTAAGGCATAGCAGACCGATTAACACTGTAGCAACAAAGTGTTTTTAATTATGCACTGGGTTACTTTATCAATAATGAAAAAACTGTCTTAGTTGTTCATCATGCTTTTTGAAAAAGTTAATCATTTAATCAAAGAGTAAGAACTAAAAGCACTTCTTGACATATTGGTGAATGTAAACCTGAATCCTTCGAGATCTTCGACGGCCCTCCCGCACCATGCTGCCTTAATCGGACCCCTGCTGAGAACACCGGCCACCGACCTCGACTTAGTAAAAGGGCAAACACCCCCAGGAGGGTCATGCAGCTCATCGTGACAGAGAGGATCATCATGATGTTGATTCTGCCTCTGTCATTGTGTTCATTTGAATGCTGGGCAGAGGAGGGTTGCGCAGATATTTCCTGCTGTGTGCCAATTCCACATCCTCTTTTAAAGATATGAAGACATATAATTCAATCAGTACAAGACGTTTCCCATAATAACAACCCAATAACAAACTGTGATCCAAAAGCCTATAGATGCAAATGCAGACGTTCGCTGTGGGAAGTCATACACTAGATCCCCATTGGCGAAACCAGTAGACATCAACATGATATCTTGTCAGTCAGGTCTAATTCTGTATTCAAACTTAATGGCTCCTGACAAGCATTTCACCAGTCGACCGGGGACCAGAGGGAATGTGCCACAGTGTGCATGACCACTCAGCAAATTCACATTTAGCATTTTATTCCTCCTGCTTGGACAGAATGAATTATTCATCCCAGATTGTATCACATTGATCCACACAGACAAAACTCCCTAAAACCCCTCAAAATGTTAAATGTTAAATGGTTTGTACATCTCGCTCCTCGCTGCGGGGACAGCGCACGTTTCTTCCACTGTATCTCTCTAATTTTGACATTCTCCCTCTATCCTTGACCCCCTTCCTCACTCCCTCTGTTATCTGAAATCATCTTAGGCCTGCTCCTTAGATTCTATTCATCAGAGCAGAAAGAAGCAGGCGCTGACACTGATATAAAAAAAAAATACCATCTGTGCCTCGCAGGGCTAAAAGGAGCGAAAGAGAATGAGACAGAAAAGAAAGAGAGGGGCTTCAAATAAAACTGGCTCCGTTGTCTCGCTCTTTTCCCCCTCCCCTCCTCGTCAATGCCATTTCAATTGAAAAGCGCAGTGGTAATTAAATTCCAGCAGGGGTTAGGGGCAACTGTGCGGCACGCTGACGGGGGGCTGCCCTGACAAAGATGACACAATTCAAGAGGACAGAGGGGGCGCCAGGCAGAAAAAGGAGGGAGGGTGACAAATGCCGTATATTCACGCACGGTGCCAGATTTGTACTACTCAATCTTTGTGACATTTACAAAAAAAAGCAGAAAATGAAATAGATATTCAAACTCAACTGAATCCCCCAATGACCTTTTCCCCAAATCAGTGAAATTCTAAACAGATCCGTCTTCTCCATCTGCGACATTTGCAGAAAACTCTGTAATGCTTTCAAGGGAGCGATTAGGTGGAGAAGAATTTGGGAAAGCTGGTTTTTGTGTGTGTGTGTGTGTGTGTGTGTGTGTGTGTGTGTGTGTGTGTGTGTGTGTGTGTGTGTGTGTGTGTGTGTGTGTGTGTTTGCATGTCAGCACAAACGCGTGACTCAGAAGGACACTCGTCATTGATTCACATTATAGTAGCGCTAATCCAGAGGCTCCAGAGAAAGTCACACACTCCTGCTTTCCCTCTTTCCCCATTCTGTATTAGCAAAACAACACAGCCGGTTAGCCTTTCACTGCAAAAACTAACAGACCATAAAATAGTGACATTTTACCAAAGTGCTGGAGAAATTATAGACGCTCTCAACAAGGAAACAACTGAAATCACATCAAATTCTTTGGTTTTAGCATAATTAGAATACATTTTAGCACACCAAAATTTCAGAGCAATGCAGCAGTGCATGATGGGATTCAGAGGTTTTTAAATGATTTGCATCATTTTTAAATATTTCATGAGAGTGAAATCTGTTGAGTTTGACTTTGTTCTTGTTAAATAATGTCTCATCGTCATCACAACATTGTATTAGAGGAGTATTATTTCAGGATTGGTGATCTTTTAATGTACTAAAATATACTGACCCCTACTGCTTTAAGCATTTGGAAGAAAATATAACTTAATCCTGCCAGTGTTTCACTTCCATGTCAGTCAATTTTATGAGTGCCGTCTTCTGCAACTCTCCTTCCATAAAGAAGCATTTGTGCAACTCTGATGCCACCTACTGGACTTAGATGTCAGTGCACAGGCTCGTAAACCGTGAGTACATTTTCACTGAATAAGAAGTGTTACCCAAAACACAACATAGTTCAATCGTCACAGATTTAAGAGAGATTAGACCGCCCCATCCCGCCCCATCCCACCCCACCCTGCCCAGATTGAAATGCTCCTTGGTCCATTCGGCCTCCTTTATTAGTTCAGTATACCGCAGGTCTTGAGATAATAAAAAGCCCACTATTACATCTGTCCTCCTTCGCAGACACTGCCACGGGTGAGTCTTAGTAGTAATTTAAAATCTCCAGAATTTCCTCCTTAACAGAAATGGCCGAATGCTGCTGGACACCTGGCCCACCAATGCTTGTTTCCCAGCAGTCAAAGCCACAGTCTTTCAACTCCTGCACTGTACTCTGGGCCATCAGGGAGTTGGTTTCTATAAAACAAGCCAGTTATAACAGGTAATATAAGACAAGGTCAAGACAGGGATAAAAGTAAGTCACTTCAGTTAATAAGCTGAGGCAGACTTGTGTGCTCTGTGAGACTGTACCAAACATCTGCTGCTTTTTGCAAAGGAAATGGTCCAAAACAGGGCTTGACATCATCTCAACAGTAAGGATGCAGCTGCATAGTAATACTCACAGTAACCACACAGACTCAGATGAAAATGTAAAGCTTCACATTCAAGAGCAGCTTTAAAACACAAAGATAAAATAACTTAATCCTCGCTTCCTTAACTTAAAGAGCTGCGCTATAAAACCCTCTGAGAGCATGTAGACTAGACAGATATGAAACACTTGGAAATTCCCTCAGTCAGAAACATTTGCTAAGAAAACAAATAAAAAAGCCTTTGGAAATCTATTTGGTGTGGTTAAGACTTGTTAAAATTCGGTATGTTACAGGCTGCAGGCATAAACAAAGGCTGAACTTGCAGGTTCCCTGCTTGTTTGCTTTGTCAAAGAGAGGATGATACAAAGTTTTCTTAGAACCAATTGCACAGTAATACTTGCATACCAAAGACGTTTTCTTGCACAGCCTGCTCATCATTTTCTGCCACTCAAATCGTTAATATGAGAGTGAGGGAGAATTTGAGGGGAAAAAAAACAAAAACAAACTTGCTGTCAGCAGGAGCCTGACAGTTTAGCTCTTCAAACATTCCTCATCAAAATTAATTCATTACAAGACTGAAGACCAATCAGCTGAAGGATGTGGAAAAAATGAATGATTAATTTGAATTATGCAAGTCATCTAAACTGCAAAGGTACTTATAACAGCAGATAAAGTACATTCCTTTAAAATAAATTACTCTTCACATAATCATTTAAAAATGCACAATAAAAAGCACCTGGTCTCAGAAGCGTGATGCCACAGCCTCCTCCCCCTGCACCTGTTAGCTTGCTGTGGAGCCCTTTGGCCAGTGTGACCTGGCAAAGTCTGTCCAGGGCAGGGTGCCCCACCCCCATCACATTCAGATGGTGCTGGTTGATATCAATGAGTTCCTTTAAAGGGTATCACACAGCTGTTGGTTAATTCATACATGCTACAGGGAGAAAATCAGCTGTGTGGTTTAGACATTTTCAAAACAGCACTATGCTACAACAGTTAACAACACTAGCTAATGTGCACTAACTTTTGTCTAACTAGGTTAGACAGCTAGCCTACACTTGCGTAGCTAGCAACTGTATCATGCCGGAGTGTAAATACTATTCGGCTAACCTGCTAATGTGGTCTAACATGGTCTTGACTTTAGCCAGGAAGTTATTTTGGAAAACAAAGTGATAACTTTGCACAACTAGCACCCCTTCTCTGATCACCTCAAAGATCAAAGTCAGCTTTGTCTCAAGTATACAGTATATTTCTTAGGTACTATACATTATACAGTACTGTGCAAAAGTCTCGTGTCGCCCCTCATTCTTAACATTTTGAGAAATAGGTGGAGAGATTTACTGAAATGTGCAAACATACATGAAAATACAATATTTAAGACCAAAACAAAGTGAATGATTCTAACAAGCTTGAAAGTCAATGCTTGGTATAACCACCTTTATTCTTCAACACAGCCTAAACTCTCTAAGGCAAGCTTTCTTGTCTTTTCTATAAGTAGTCTTCAGAAAAAGTTCTTGGGGCTTCTTGAAGGACATTCAAAGCTCTTCTTTGGATGTTGGCTGCCTTTTGTTCTGTTCCCTGCCAAAATGCTCCCACACTGCTTCAATAACGTGGCGGTCTGGGCACTGAGGAGGCCAATCCATGACTGATAATGCTCTACTGATGTGTTTTTCTATCCAGGTATGCTTTTACTGCACTGGCAGTGTGTTTGGGATCATTGTGATGCTGTTACCAATCAGATGCTTTCCAGATGGTATTGCATGGTGGATCTTTTTTTTTTTCCTTCTTTTGCCCTCCAACTTTCCTCAAATTTTTAAGGACACACACACTGCCCCAAGATATGACAAGTTTTCAGCTAATAGTTCTTTTGAAAACACTTTGTTGGTACAAAAATACTATTTTATGTCTGCAGTACTAATTCAACTAAAGAAATCGGAATACATGTTTTGTGAGAAGTTGCCAGTAACAAAGTGCCTAAAGATATAATTTATAATTGTTTCTTTGCTAAGTTGTCTATTATGTGTAGACAAAACTAGTTTATCCCTTGAGTTAGGTGCCTTTTTATGTTTAAATGATTCATAGGTTAGTGTTAAGTAGCTTAACAAACAAAAAACACTTCTGGGAAAATGATCAGGTACAGGGACTGGACTGAAATGACTGAAAAAGCAGCCAATGTCCAAAGAAAAACTTATTTCAAGAACTTCAGAAAGCCTGGAGAAATATTGCTGGAGTCCGTATGTCTGTGAAGTTTGTCAGTCATCCAGGTCATCATACTCTAAGGAGCTTGGAAAGAAAAGCATCTGAACTTCTTTAAGTTTCTTGAAGATGTTTCACACCTTGGCTCGTGTGATAAGGCAGAGGATCACAAGGGGGTCCATGACCCTCTTAGTGATGCTCCCAATAGGGCTTAAAAATCTGGTACTCTCCACCAGTTGCTCTCAGAACTGAAGAAGCTTCCCGAATGAGAGGTGAAACGTCTTCAAGAAACTTAAAGAAGTCCAGACGCTTTTCTTTCCAAGCTCCTTAGATTGCTGGAGACCGCTTAAATAAATAAATAAATAAATAAATAAATAAATAAATAAATAAATAAATAAAGTGGCAACCAAATATAAAGAAATGAGGGGTGGCTCAAGACTTGTACAGTACTCCACAATACATCTATTACATTATTTATTTTAGCTGCAGCAGACTTTCAAAAAGAAGTAACACTGACATTTAATGACATGTTTATAACGCAAACTGCTTCACAAAATCAACTAATATTTGTACCTCTAGAATATTGTAATGCTCTCCTGTGATGGGCTCGCAGGTCATCTCTGAGAGGACCTTTTCACAAGTGCAGGAAATGGCATCAACCGAGTCAAGAACAGGTACCATGATGGATGGAAACTACAGGAGGGGAACACAAAACCCAAAGAGATGAACTTTTCCAACATCACTCGTGCAATACAATAACATCTGTACACACATATTTTTTTTAATGGCTGTTTTCTGATGGATAAGCTGCATACAAATACAGATTCTGGGATGGCAGGTTTGACTTGTGCTCTAGCTTGATCACAACACTGTCACAACACCATTCAGGCCGAATTCTCTGTCTCAGACAGAAATCTGCACACCTGCTGGTGTCACCAAGGCAACAGCGCACAGGGGTGCCGGCTAAGAGTTTAATTTTAATATTTTATGAAGGCACTCAACACCACACGCAGGAGTATCTGCCAAGCAAAAGCACCGCCTATTATATTAATTACAGTGTCGGCAAGTAACACACGGGGGAGGAAGAAACCATTTAGTACCTTGTTAATTTTGTCCTTCACCCCGGCAACAAGTACCTTGGTGCTTCGTGGTACTTTGGTGTTAGTGAGGAGGATTCTTAATAACGGCACCCTGGAAGTAAAACAGACAGATCAGAGGGTTCATTCAGACGTATTATTCTGGTGCTTTACTGACGTATTAATTTTGTCCAGACAATGAGTTTGTTAATTGACCCTTTAAACAAAATCTAATTAATAATCCTTCTTTAGTACCTGCTCAGCGGTATTATCTTTCCAGCCAAGAATCTGAGCATGCCGCCTACGTAAACCAAAGATGAATCATTAAAATCACAATAATCAGATAACAATGAACAATGATGGTGCAAAACTCTGATGAGTACATGAAAGAGTGCGGTACAAAAATGAAGGAAGGTGTAACAAGCTACACATTTTAATGCCTCACCCCACGTTCCTACAGCATTGTCCACTCCTGAAGGATTACCGTGGATGATCATCTCCCCTTGGAAAGCCCAACTGTTGATTAGCTCCAGTTCCTCCTGACACCACCTGACACCAGTCATACCAAAATAAAAGGAAGAAGTGTCAAAATCCTAAAACGATTATATACGAGACAGTTTTTTAAAAAAAAAAAAGAGGCAGTTGTTATAAAATCTGGAAATTTAGCCAGAAAATGTTAAAAGTACTGGTGTAAAATGCAATATCTTTTGTATTGTGAACTGCAATACAAGTTGTGTTGTGGTGCTGACCAAACCCATCCATTAATTTTTCTTTTTAACAAGTTGAATGTTATAATTTAAGGCCTCACCTTCAACTTCAAACCAAAAGCCTGTGTGACACCATTTCCATTGTGTGATGTGTAATTTAAAATTTTACGCTTGCTGTCCCATTTTTGCAGCCCTGCCGTGACGCCTATACAAAACGGCAGCTGACAGCTACCGCATACAGAGCTCGTGATGGAGATGGAGGCCTGAACATTACCTGGCAGTGTGTTCCCACTCTTTGAGAGGAGGGGGGATGGCTCCACTTGCGCAAAGCAGAGCTGCAGCTAAACACACAGAGTAGGCGGCACTTGACCCGAGTCCTGCTCCAGTAGGCAGCTCTGACCACACAGTCAGCGTCAAACTGGGCAGCTCACTGAGAAAACAAATACAGAAACTGCTTTTATAGAATTTAAATTGTGTATATGTATGACTTTTGACTGCATATGCACTGAAACGGTAAAAAAAATAGTTGCAGATAATAGAAATTTGCAACTGTATCCCCAAAATTAGAATGAACACAACCTGTGAGCATCACTGTAGATTTAAAAATCCTACTGATTACTTCTCATTTACAATCAGCTATCAGTCATTTTTAATATATAGAGAATACTTCATTAAGTAAAGTACATAATATGGGATATTGCCTTCTGTACAGTCATGTGACTCTTACAGCACACATGTACACTACTACATTCAACAGAAACTTGACACTTCTGTCAATGCCTGTCAGGGACGCTGCTTTTGGGCAGAGGTGAATACTGTAAACTAAATGTCCAGCTCTTCTTTCTCTTTAGAGGAAAATGCATACAGGCACTAGGGCACAGACTGGCTCAGTGCCAGACGCTCATTAGCGGGGATCCTGTCACAACCCATCACCTCTCTCAGACATGCCACCGCCTTGTCAACGCCGATTAAACCTCCCAACAATCTGCAGCTTAATGCTCCTCAGCATCTTTTCTGTTAACAGCTGCCGAAGCAGTTAATACTAACATCCAACCAATACCTTTAACATCTTCATTTTAAAGAAGAGAAACTTTTCCCTGAACCTAATCTACTTCACTGGTAACTTAGATGTTTGGAAATTGAACTTAAAACTACATTTATTGCAAGTGGGCACAAAACCAAAACTAATACAATCTACTGTAATGTGTATATCATTTTAATAGGGACATCTAAATATAAACAGAGTTATCACTGAGCAAACAATAAAATCTGAAATGCAAGAAACCCCACTATTATACGCCACAGAATACAATGGTACACACAATAAATAGCCCTCCCTGACGCACTCTCATGCACACACTCACAAACACACACACACGCACGCACGCACACACACAGAAAGACTGTAGAGTTTAAACAAGACAGAGTCATTTTGTCATTTGTCATTATTTGTCTGCACACTGTCTGAATCACCAGTAGGTGGGGAAAGTAATAGCTGCAGCCATTTTCAGTTGCACCACCTCTGGGCAATGAGTTTACAGCTGCAGTCTTTCATCATTTTTACTGGACTTCTCTTTTGAGTGTTTACTTTTGAGAGTTTGCCTTTAACACTTGTGTAACCTGTGAGTTAATATAGAAATGAAACTTCATCTTTTTTCAGATGTTATAACAGAAATATAACATAATTACTATCCTGTACTTACTAAACATCAAAGACTTTGACTGCTTTAGACAAATGACCTTTAACCCCCACTACTCCTAGAAAAGTACACAAGAGTCATGATAACAGATTTCCTGTTACTCAGCACAAAATGTTCCTTCTAAAATAATGTTAAATTTTACACTGTAACGCTCTGTCTCAGAATGAAGTACCGATATTTTTTTAAAGAGTTCAGTGAGTGATTGACTACAGGTTTTTAAAAAGGCACGAGTTATTACTTTCCTATGTGCATAGAGAGAACATTTTCATATATACACCTGCAATTTGTTGATGCCTCTGTGACAAAAATGGCTACAGATGTGCAAATGATGAGAAGAAGTCCTCTCTCTCACCCTGATCCAAACAGCGACAGGTAGAGGTAAAGGAAGGATAAGTTGGCCATGCTGCAAGTATCCAAGCTTCCATTGCTTACGCCAATAAATTCCCGCAGTCTCCTCACAAGTTCAGCATCCAGGCATTGCACCTCATCCCTCTTACCTAATAACATCAATTAAAAGGTATATCACACCAATGCACTTTGATCTGTAACTGTACAAAACCAAAGCATATAGTTTAATCTAGCAAATTACTTAAAAACCTGTTAATTAAGACTGTCATTAGTTGGCACATCCAAAGGCTGACATTATAAAAAGACAGTAAATGGAAATTTACAGCTGCAAAAAAACTCAATAAATATTTCTCACCCAGAAGCTCGTAAATGTAATCACTTTGGATGGTGGTGAGTTTATAGTACTGTCAATGATTCTCAAATAATTATGGGAAATACAGTAAATGAGTTGCACTTTTTTCCTACTTTTTCCACACTAAACACCTTTGTCTCCCATTTAGACACAGACTGGTGTTACAGTGGATATACTGCTGTACCACCAACATTAGGCCAAAATTGGTATCAGTACTAAAATTTCACTGTAGGATGCTTGAACTGCGCGCAATATCATAAAAACAGAATTTGCAGGAGCACCTCTGATGCACCTTACCATAAGTAACAAGCTGCTTCAGTTGTGAAAGGTCCCAGCTGAGGAATGTGTCGATATTGGGCAGGTTGATGCAAACCTTGCCAAAAGTATCGGCTTTCAATCGCAAATATGTCCTCAAGTTTAAGCTCACAGCAAGAGCCACCTGCCATGAAGCAACATTAGAACAAGCAAAATGTTAAAGAGATAAATAAATAAAATCTCCTCTTTTTTTATTTTTGGTTATTAACCTTTTCATCAAAGACATGCTGTAGCTTTATGATAACGGGGTAAATATTAAAATATAAAATGACACTTTTGCAATTGGACCGGTTGTTTGATAAATCTTAATTAGTCATATTTTTGCTAAGATGCTGACTGGTGCATTAAATGTCATTATGGTATCACTTCAGAGCTTACCTTTCCGTGAACGACTGCATGCTCTCCGTGTAGGATCGCCTTTCCAGGAGCTGACACGTAAAGGTCCGTCACTTGCATTTCTGTAAAAGCTTCCAGAACAGAGCACAAAATATGCCCAAATCTACGTAACTCAATTGCTTCAGTTCAACTTTCCACTGACAGCATTAATAAAAGCTAGCTTAGCTAATGTTAATCCGCTGAACAGGCAAGAAGCCGTAGACAGCTTAGTTCCACAGCACCGTCCTTTACGCGAACATTAATGACTGTTAATAACTTTACAAATTAATTTGGTGATTTAAAAAAATCATGGAGCAACACTACATTCTCTTCACGAGTATCTGAGAGTGTTAAACCGTGACCTGACACACGGGACGAGGGACGAGCGAGGATTTCCTGTGTCCAATCAACTCCCCTTCAGCTGGTCGAGCATATTTTCGTCTGGCCAATCAGCATTCAGAACTCTGCCACCACCGGGTGAGTTGGCCAATCATGCGATGAAATGGAAACGCCTATGAACTACGGACACCACGGATGGACAAAAAGGGCAATTCTGTCGTTTACCCTTGCTGCTGTCGATACTGTGTTGTAGCTAAAAATGACATCGTTTGTTTTCAGACATTCTCTCCTTCGCGGCGTTCCAGGGACATGCAGGTTCATTAGCGAGTATCGGGCAACGAGACCGTTGTTTACCCTGTTTTCAGTCAGAAGGTAGCTATACTGTACAGTCCTGTGTCAGCGTTTGTGTGCACAGTGTTGTGCTTCTGTTCGTGTTGTTCGTGTAACTGTCTGTGTAACTAGCAACTGCTGGTTGGCATCTGCCATACAGATCGTTCCTAAAAATACAACAGAATTAAACTCAATGGTCACTTTGTTAGGTACTGTATTGTTGTTGACAATGACATCCCTTTATGACCAAAGTGTACCAATCCTCTTCCAGCAGGATAAGTTGATGTGCCATACCACTCAAATAATCTCAAACTAGTTTGTTGAACATAACAATGAGTTCACTGTACTTAAATGCACTCTGCAGTCACCAGATTTCAATCCAGTAGAGCACCTTTAAGATGTGGTTGTGGTGGAAGCTGACAAATCTGCATCATTGTGTGATGTTAATATAGATCAAAATCTCTGAGGAGTGTTTCCAGCACCTTGTTGTATCTATGCCACATAGAATTAAGGTTCTGAAGACAGGAGAGGGGACCAAACCGATTAAAGCAAGATGTACCTAATATAGTGTTTGGTGAATATATAAAAATACTTAAACACCTTTCCTTTAATATCCTTCTTTTTCAAAACAGTTATGCCACTGGTGAGGACAACAGGGTGCCCAAAATATACACCAAAACAGGAGACAAAGGTTATTTATCATTGTAACTCAGACAACACTACCGCACTGTACTTTTGGAATAAGCAATATTTTAAAAAACTTTGTCTTGATTCCTTCTTAGGTTTCTCAAGCACATTTACAGGAGAAAGAAGGCCAAAAGAAGATCACATTTTTGAAGCCTTGGGGAATACAGACGAGCTGTCATCAGCTATAGGGTAACATTTCTACAATTCAAATATGGCATGTCATTTTAGCATTTTTTTTATGACATGCCTTGTCTAAAGTTACATTCTTAACTTTTACAGGCTGGCAAGAGAGTTTTGCCTTGATAAACGTCATACATTCACTCATCAATTGGACAAGGTTTGATTTTGTCATACTGCATTTCTTAACTTCTTTCAGTTCCTACACCATAAATTCAGAGAGAAGGTTTGTCATCATTTTGCTTTTGTCACCACAGATCCAGTGCGTTTTACAAGATGTGGGCTCCAACATTGCTACCCCTCGATCATCTGCAAGAGAAAGCCATATAAGTATGATAGCTTTGGCTAATCAAGTCTGTTTTTATTTATTGTGTCACATGTGATCACACTATTCTGTTTTTGCAAGAGAGAACAAAATTTATTGCACAGCCAATTGTGGACTTGGAGACCTGGATTGATCAGTTTACAGAAGAACTCCCTCCTTTAACCAGCTTCATTTTACCAGTAAGCTGCGCACGTTTTTAACAAATGTTTGCGTGTCCCTGTTGCACTAATATATACTGTTTCCCCCCCCACAGTCTGGTGGGAAGAGCAGCGCAGCTTTGCACTTAGCTCGGACAGTCTGTCGGCGAGCAGAGCGCAGGTTAGTTTTAGTATGATCTATGTAAGGTCGTCCTGAATGACAAAGTAATCTGTAGTTGTTTGTTCCCCTCCCCATAGCGTTGCTCCAATTGTGCAATCAGGTGAGGCAGATCCAGATGTTGCCAAGTTCTTGAACAGGTCAGTGTTGTACCTTTTTTTATTAAAAAAATAAATATTTCTACTACGTAGCTGACAAATATCCTTTCCCTCCCACTCAGGTTAAGTGACTACCTGTTCACAGTCGCCAGATATGCATCTATGAAAGAGGGCAGTGAAGAGAAAATCTACAAGAGGCCAGAATGACCAGTCTCACGTGAAGATTAAAATAAAAAGCATTACCTTTTGAGATGCATATACTTTATTCAAACTATAAATACAATACATATATTTTTATTTTAATGCATTTTCCCCACATGTAAAAATCACAGGTCACAATAAACAGTGTACATCCAAAATATTTGTGTCCTATAAGTTTCAAACATACATTTAGACAAGTTAATATACAGTTAACAATTTTGTCCATAGAAATCCATTCTTGTTGATTCTATAATAATGCGCTTCTGTCTTCCATGGCCTGCTCATAACAAAAGTGGCAGTTTGTTTAATTCCAGCATGGCTGTCATTACCCTCCCACACAGTCACATAATCTGGCACCAGCCCTGGCTTTTCTGGGAAAGGCTGCTGGCCCATGTCATTAGAGACAGATTGCGGTCCTCGAAGGGTGGATAGCGCAGGTAGGTCACACATTCAAACCGTGCGCTTCGTAGCAGACAGGATTTCTTGTGAGAAAATGTATCAAAGCTGTAGCGGCCATGGAAAGAACCCATTCCACTGGCACCTTCAAAGAGGGGGGGGAGGGGGGGTTAGTTGGTCAGACTGGCAGATCACTTACAGACTGTCCCACCATCCATACTACTACTGCAGCTTAGACTTACCTACTCCACCAAAAGGTAGAGCCACCATCACACTCTGCAGGATGCAATCATTAGAGCAGAAGCTTCCACTGCAGGTCTCACTCATGAATCTTGAAATTACCTGCAGTGTCAGAAAAGCCACCACATGATCAGAATAAATCCTACAATGAATTCTGGCTTCAGTTTCCCCCCCTGTTCAATTTGCCTCGTAGACCTACCTTGCCGTTGGTGGAATATGCATACACACAGAGGGGCTTTTCTTGCTTATTGATAAAACTAATAGCCTCATCCACATTGTTTACAGTCAAAATAGGAAGAACTGGACCAAAGATCTCCTTTTGCATGACGGGGTCTGATTCAGCCACATCTGTCAAAACTGTTGGGGCTTCAGATTTAAAAAAATATAAAATAAAATTACAGCCATGTTAAAGCAATCTATTAAGTGCAATATGTGTCAAGGAATTCAGCTTTTCATACCAATATATTTCTCTGCTTCTATCACATGCCCACCCACAGCCACCTTGCCAGATCTCCATAAGATCCCTCTAGTACGGTTAAAGATCTCTAGATTGACTATCCGGCCAAAGCTACGTGACTCTTGGGGATTAGAGCCATAAAACTCCATCAGGCAGCACTTGAGGGCCTGCACCAGCCGAGCTTTGACATCTGTGTGGCATAAAATGTAGTCAGGAGCCACCAAACTCTGTCCAGCATTATGAAAACGTGCCCAAGCAATGCGCTGCACAGTGGTGAAAATGTCACAGTGCTGGTCCACGTAACATGGGTTCTTCCCTCCCAGAATCAAGGTGACGGGTGTGAGTGTGCGGGCGGCAGCCAGAGCAATTTTGCTTCCGTCCTCTTTGTTTCCTGCAGAGTGACAGCCAAGCTTAAACAGTGAACAATTCAAAGAACACTTCTTTTTTTAAAAAAAATTAAAGGATGACTAATAAAAATTACCTGTAAAGAAAACATGATCAAATTTGAGCTCAATCACTTCAGGCAAGTCACTCAAGCCTGCAAGAATCGCATGGAAGCATTCCTTGAGGAAAACAAGAGTTTTGTATGAGAATTCCTTTTGTTCCCCCTCTTCAAACAAGCATCTCTTATAATTAAACTAAACTAAAAGCACACAAAAAAATAAAAAAGCAATATCACTGGTGAGTCAGATATTCAGTCATGGATGACAAAGTGCTCAATTCTGAAATGCCAGATTTAAGTATCTCAAAGTGTAATCTCACCAAATGAAAGCTCATTTGATTACAGGTCAATAAAAGGGTACCTGCTCAAACAGATTCTTACAAAGGAGTCAAATTATTCTGGAAGCTAAAACTATGAAGTGTTTCACTCTCACTGTAGCAACCAAAGTCAGTTATTCTTATGTTAAAGAGAGTGAAGTAAAAAATTCATAGTGTGCAGTCTAATCAGCTTCAGAACAAAAAAAGGGGGGGGGGGGGGGGGAAGTATTGCCTTTGATATTTTACTGCAAGTTCTTGCAGGGAAAAATCAGTCCCTTTATGCTAGCTTACTCACATTATCCAAGTAGGAGGGAATTAGACGATGGAGAAGCTCTGTTGTGTGCACAGTAGACTCAGAGGGGCTGATGATTGCACAGTTTCCTGCACAAATGGAAAATAAAACATCAGTTGCTGTCAGTTAGCCTGAGTACAGGAGAACTAAATGATGAAATAATACTGGCTGCACCTGCTGCAATGGCCCCGACCAGTGGCACAAGGCACATTTGTACAGGACTACACCAGGTCCCAATGATAAGCACCACTCCCAGCGGTTCACTGATCACCAGACAGTCGTCCAGCGTGGTGGACTACACAGACCGAACAAATTACATTACAAGTGAAACAGCACAAGTAAAAAGCTGGTAAGGTTCATCATGACACAAAGAGAAAATACACATGAGCTCATTTTATTCCTTTAGAAAGGGGCAATGCAACTTCTGTTTTAATCTGCTTTGCAGGGCTCAGCACAATACATTTCTTTGTAGCAGTACGTGGAATGTTCTCTCGAAAAAGGTCATGATTAATCCCAGTAACATTATCAAGATGATTTAAACAACAGTCTTACCAGGTTCCTTTCCACTTTCTGTGGCTGCATCCACTTCTTTAAGTTGTTAATAGCATATAGAGCCTCATTCTTGACCAGGATCAGTTCAGACACAACCGTTTCAAACCGAGGCTGGTTAAAAACAGAGTAAACGAATATGAAGTCAAAGAAAAAACATTTGACTCTACCATCAGTTCTCACTATTAAAAACAACAACCCTGCAGGGAGACCGCTTCAGCCCTGACCTTATGGAGGTCCCTTCCAAGTGCATCCACAAAGTCACACTCGTGTTCCTCCAGCATCTGCACCACAGCCTCCAGCTGAGCCAGTCTGAAGTTCTCCTTCAGGGTACGTCCAGCTTGAAAGGCGACTCTAGCCCTCCTCAGGAGATCCACGCTTTCCAGAGGATACGTCTTCAGACAGGGGTCCCCGAGCCTGGTCCTGTAACAGTACGCTAGTTTTAACTTCACAAGGCGAACGCACGCACACACACACCTACACACACACACACACACACACACACACCTTCTGCATGTTAGCCGCCCATGTCTCTGACAAGCAGAGCACGCCTTTACTTTTCGACTCATGTCTGTGTCAGTCAATAAATCTCTACCGCTGGCCTTTCCGAATGAACCAGTGTGAAATTAAGCTTGTGCACCCGCTCAGCAAGAGCCTCCCACCGGCATATATTGAAAATCCGAATAACTGCAGTGCAGACAGTCAGGTGATGCACATAAAACTAACAAAGCTGGACGCTTAAGCTGAGCCACCCAGAACAGCTGTATCTAATCTAAGGTCATTTGCAATAATAAGTCTCAATTTCTCGCAAGTAGGCCAAAACAAAGGTCTTTTCACTTTTTTTTTTTTTTTTTTTTTACCTGCGCAGCGCCTTAAACCATCGTGCTGGAGTCGGACTCGGAGGACGGCTCATGGTTATTGAGAAGCTTCAATCTCAGGCAGCAGCCGGAGTAAAAACGACCAGCAGCTTTCCCAGCAGCGCCGTCCACCTCTCACTAAGGGTCACACGGTGCAATCAGAGAGCACAACGGAGAGTTTGCTTCAGACGCGCGTATTTATACGATAATCCCCCATCCACGGTATTCAAGGGAACCAGAAAATGTACCAATCCCACAGCCTGATGTTAATGTCTCATGCATGCTGTGAATTACCAGCCTTTTACAGAGGCCTGTCTCCACTCTTGTTTGCTTTTTCTAAACAGGATCTACAGGTGTTTGTAATCAACTAATTAACGAATGAAAAAAAAACCCACAAATTGTGATCAAATGATTTATATCACACTCGTGTACACGATTTAACATTACATGAGGAGGTATCTTACAAATGGACAAATCTTACATGGGATATTTTTTTAAATCAATAATGCGCCTTACTATAGTGCAGCGAGATTCATAGACATTCACTTTTAAAAAGAGAAAGGGGGAACAAAAAAAAAACTGAGCGGTTGAGAACATTTCCGGGATAATTTCTTTTTATTTATTTATTTGTTGTACTAAAAGAGTCAGCATCAGCAATCACTGGTACACTCAAAGTCTTCTCTTGACATCATTTAAACAGATGAGCCACCTCATCGGGAGACAGACAAGCATGTGAGGTATCTTTCACCACTCTTGCACACTACCACGCACACACACACACACACACACACACACACGCACACACACACTCGTGAGCAGTTGCAGTAGTGTGTCATATAAATCCATTTGCAGTGCTTTCAGTTCTTGCCCAAATACTTTAAGGATCCCCTTAACTGATTTGTCAGGTTTGATTTTAACATCATTTAACAACATTATTAGATTATTAGATAAATTTATTACAACCAGTCTTATGTGTATATATGTAATGGTTGCATTTTCATTATAAATCACTTTTTTTTTTCACGAGTTAGTGGCCATCATATAACTTCTTAGAAACATGGTTACATATTAACAAAAATCTCAATTTTCATTCATGACAAAACTTTTTTTTTGCATAATAAAGAACTTTGTTAGGTTAGACTTTTTTCCTTCTTCTTCTTCTTCTTCTTCTATCGCTTTTAATGATGCAGTCCTTTTTTTTTTTCTCCAAATAACCAAAAGTCTGTGCCTGGACCTTCTGCTGTAAATGAACCCTGTGTAAGGTAAAAAAATTTAAGCTTATAAAGTCACATTCACTCTCATGTCCCTTTCCCCCTCCCTCCCAACTGCCGCAAACAGCAAAATTGTGTGCAACGTTTCCAAGGGAACATCATCAAGTCAAGCGGTCGCATTTGGTTGACGAACCAGTCCATGACATCATTCTTTTCTGCATGGCTTCAAAAGTCCACAGAGATCAGAGAGCATTGTAGTGAAGCCCTCCGCGGTTGTTGTGGTATTACAGTGGTTCCGCTCTGTGTTGCTCCTATAAGCAGAGAATATATCCAGGACCATAGCCCCCACATTTCTATGGCTTGTTTCCAAATCGTGGTTATTGGTTACGGTTGAAAC